CTTTAATCGTAACGTGATTGCTCCATGTGTACTCAAGCTTGCTCCCATTTCTCCTGTAAACAAAATAAATCGTACGCCATGAACATGATAGCCAACACCGTTCCTCAATGTAAAGCAACAGGTTTCTTGGGTATATATTTACCACTAGACGCCCATACCTAGTTGGATATTGGCATTGTGCATTACTGTCTATCGGCGTGCACAGAAAATCCACTATTCAACCACAGACGATACATATTACTCACCGCCGCATGCACTGATCAAGAATCAAGCACTCATGCGTTAATCAGAAGGAATTTGTTATCATTCCGATAACATGCACCGATTCAGCCAAGTTGACACAAACAGCACAGTTTAAATATTAACTCAGAATCTGATAATTTTACTGGCTTAGTGTGCTGTCCATTTCTTTAAGTGACAGTTGGGTACTTATTTACAAGCGGATATAGATTCCGGCTCGAAGGCCAGGCCACTTGTCATAAAAGGCCAGTCAATTAAATGCATTTGGAATAAATAACGTAAACAAAGCCAGCCATTCAAGAAAGTGAAATTATTGGCTAGACGATTTAAGAAGAATACTGCTTTCATTTGATTCACGAAAGTTCGGCTTTTTCCCACTGGCCAACTAAGTCAGCTCTTGCTTTGCCATCGGGTATTAAAATTCTTAACTCCTCTTCATTACTTTCAGATTTTGACATCAATCTGATGGTTACGAAAGATTCGAGACACGTAAGGTCATTTAACAGTGGAAAGGAATGCTCTCCTATTTTCAGCGGAAACGAATGCTCTCTTTTAAATTGTATGTTCTGGAGCGTCAATCGTTTCTTTTGGCGCTAGTAGAGATATTTTGGAAACAGAGGTCGATATGCGACCACGTTCTTTGTAGCATTATTTTGTATTCGGGTTGACAAAGGAAATCGGCCGGATAATCTTTCTGTTCGCAGGCTCTCGAAGTGAGAGTTGATGCTGAAATTTTAATTATCTTTTCAAAAACGTCAATCCAATTATTTGTTTTGTGCATGGTTTGGTTAACCATGGTTAAGTTTGGATTCCTGGACTAATTGGCCTTAAAATCGATTATTGTTGTCCTTGCAGACTCTTCCGTCCTAAGACCAAGAAAACAACATATCTCGACATTATTTTCATGAATTCACAAGTGATGAGAACGTTGGAACAACAAAGACATTATCGAAAAATACTTTTGTTTCAGCGATCACGAATTAATTAATTCATTGATTGCTCACGTACGCGTAATCGAATGACAATTAACTTTCCAAATTTAAAGGATTAAATTCGTTTTTCTTTGTGCTAAGGAGGACTATTAAAGAAATCTTGGGACACAGTTACACATTTTTTCTCGCATTGTTTGCAGTATACGGGTTATTTCTACTGATCTTAAAACGATGAAATACCATAAAAAACTAAAAGTTAATTACCCTATAACTTTATGCCACTGATATGTGTTTATTTTTCCTATTAAAACGATAATCAGTTCGCGGTGACCAAAACTGCTCATAAGCAACAAATTGATTCGTACGTTCCACAAAATCAAATAAGTTGTGCATGCATCTCCAAAACACAAAACAATTTATAGAAAATTTTTAGCCGCTTCCTGAAGGCCGTAAGATATTGATTGAGTTTTATATGAAACAAGAAATAAAAAACTCGCGTTCACGGAATCGTTCCTCAACTGAACGACATCGAAGTTCATAAATCTACAATGTCTACAAGCGTACCACTCTTTTGAAAACGAAATTTAATTGGAAAACGGCAAATGTGATTCTTTCTAGCCTGCTTGCTGTACAGTAAGCATGTTGTGCTGCAAGTACCTTACTTGCATGTCCAATTGCTCAGTAAGCAAATGCTTTTAAGACCTCCTACTAGCTCTAAGTACTTCTCGGTTTTAACAAAAAACATTTTCTGTTCGATTCTGCGAAGACATAACATACATTCATTGCGATTTAACACCAAACTGGAAAGAATTATTTTTTATTTATCGACTTCAGTCGCTCGACTATCCGATTAGATTTCATGTGATGAATGCCTTCTTTATCAATATCAAACCTAGAGCACGATGCGCATCGCTGCAAATTCCTTCTAGAATTTTCGATCGCATAAAACACAAAAGATTATAACCTACGACACTTAGAGTGTTACGGCTCACTGCTCACGTACATTCGCAGCTTGATAAATTCTAAATAGGTGTTCCTGATTGTAGCCTTTTCAGAGAATTATTTTTTGAACACGGTCTGAGAAGAAAGAACTGTGGGACCGAGAGACATTTTCATTTCGTTCGAAATAAAAATAAAGGCTTAAACCAAATGAATGGACACTTTTCGTGTCTGACAGTTTTGTTACTGTTAAAAACATAATGTCAGGCCATCAATCACTGAATTCTTGAACTGTGAAAGTTATTTATTTTTCGCTTTTATTATTACAAAAAAGATTAAAACGATCATACAATGAAGAAGTTCGCTCGCTTGTATTTGTTTATGAAGTGAAGTGTTGTTTATGAGTTTTTCTATAATCAGCCAATTTCAATTATCTCTCCAATTGAAAAGATTTACTTACAGGATACAGATCAGTCTTCAACCGGTGTCCGATGCAGAATGAAAATATGCTTTGTACCGTGTGGTGGAAAAATCCTACCTTAGACTCGAGATGGTCAGAAGATGCGACTTATTTAGGTTGATCACTTCTGAAATATGGCAATTAGTTCAGAGGGCAAACTAATAGAACAGTCCTTGACAGAAACATGTTTCAGAAAACGTCACCCAGAATGTCTACTTTCCAATCCGCTTTGCACATAGTGGGTGGGCATTTGCCTGCACGATCTGTTTAGGACTACAGCGAAGTGTGATCTATGAGAATATCTTCAAAGCCGAAGCTTTCTCTGGCCCGATCTCACTAGTAATGATTAAATAGCTTCACACTAGTAATTTATACTCTGATGTTAGGCTCCAGGATAAAGTCCACAAAACAAACAGCTACCGGCAGACAGTCACTGAGGGCTCATGAAAATACTCAAATCTACCAACCTTGGTTCAAGTAACACTGCATACCAACAAATAAGAAGGAACTGGCGTTTGACGCTTCTCGGGTTATCGCTTGAATTCATACAGACCAACAGAACATTTCAACTAGATGTCACTGATGTTTCTTTTCACGCCCCACTTGCTCTATGACAGAACGTGCAGAGTTGAGACATAAAACTTCAACTTGTCTTTAAATGCAATGACTTTTGGGTAGTAACTGTTGTATTGATTGAAAAATTTTAATTATTGCAAACATGTTTCGAAAACAAAATTCCTTGCAGTCGGAAAAATAAAGTAAACGTTGTCGGCGACTGCCTCAATCTAAACAGAAAACACCGGAAATCTAACTAGCAGATATCAAAAATCGATTGCACACAAATCTTATCTTGAATTGACATTGCATTTCGCAAACCCCGTTAACATGTTTCGATACGGTTTTGGATTACTTATTGACTTCAGTTAATGGTTTCATCAACTCTTTTAAATCCGTAGACAAAGTCGGAAACATGTCAAGATAGCCCGCGTCGTGTAACACAGCGAATCACTCAGAAAGGCCGCCGAATATGATGATATAGAAACACTAATGCGAACAAATGACTTTGTGTAGCTAGATTCCAAGCTATAAATCGTCCAGCACCCTGAAGAGAGGGGAGAGGGGAGTGCGATTAGGGGGTTCTTATCCAAATATTCTTGGAAAATCGCAGATTCAGCAGTAAAAGCTTTCAATGCCTCAAAAAGACAAACAATTTGGTGAAACAATCAAGCAGTTTTGTTCGTTTGAGACCAATAATTTCCGAAGTCTTGGTCGTCTTGTAAGGCTAGAGGCTATCTGACCGTGGAGTGCCTGATTCGTTTTCTCTTTTTTTTTCTTTTTTCTAACTATGGTGTCCAAGGCCCTTTAGATAACTGCCTCAGACTTAATTCTTTGCTTCAGCCCTTGTAATGAGGAAAAATACATGGGTCATTTATCAATTGGCGACTTGCCGAGGCTCCTTGAGTCATTGACACCCCTAGATTACCTACAGGATAAACATTACAGCGCATTAGGTTCATTGTCTTTCTAAATTCGGCAGTGGCGTTCAAATCTGGCGAAAGTAAATTACCTAAGGCTGAATTTATCAGCCACGCTGAGGGATAAGTTTAAATGCAAGCTTGACTGTCTTGACTGTATGATCTTCGGAAAGCTTTTTATTTGGGATATCAAGCCTTCGTTAAACACCCAGACTGACTCGATTCGCGCCAAACTATTTACATGACACTTAGTCGTTATTTGACCTTTGGGTATTGTACCCACGGGAATAAAACACTTTTTTCCCTAATTGTTTTATTAACTTTTTTAATTTCATTTTTAATCAGTTTTTCACTTTTCACTTGATAATGACGTGAAGTAACGTCTAAACGTAGTCAAAACATTTTGCGAACAGTTTTCAAAAGTTGTTGGAGTTTTATGTACTTTAAAAACATTCCATAGAGAGGAGCAACTTCAGAATACCCCGCAACTCATTTACATGTCATTGAATAAGAATAGCGTATATTGTGTTATGCCTCGATCTTCAAAGCCTCCCGACACATGTAAGTGAGGCGGACCAAAGTTGCGGGGTATTCTGAAGTTTAGCCCCCCTCGCAAATATTTTCATTTCTTCCAGTGACTTTTATGCTTGAAAAGCTTTTACATGATATTGTCAAAAGAAATAATTTTCAGCGTTTCTGTCTGAGAGTAAAAGGATTATCTATCACTCCTTTGAAAACTCGATTTGAAAAACTAAACACTGGTCATTAAAATCGTTTGAAATTAAGGGATTAAGCCTTCTAATCCAATCAATCACGTGCTATTTTTCCATGCATCGTAAGAAGAAAGTGTCGTGTTATTTTGACGAAATATCTGCAGGCTGAAATAGACAACCGACCCTTGTCTGGTATTTTAGCTTGTATATTTAAGCCATCAGCAAATTATTTGTTGTTCAGTGTAGTTTGTTTGCTTCTTTGAAACAAGATTGACATCAGTTGAAAAGCTAAAGGCTGCGATAGTTATATCTTGCTTGAGTCTGCTTACGCACAAAATTTATCCCATGCAAGTTTTCTAGTGTAATTTCTTAGCCTTTTTATCCGTTTCTTTACGAAATCAGTAGGTCAGCGAGGTATTCCACCCATCAGGGCCGCTTTTTTTTTCTCAATTGGAAGCAAATTATACAGTTAGCACTGCAAAAGGCTCTAGAATTTACGCATTTAATCATGATCGCGCACTTTCACGACAAAAGTTTTCTATTAAAAATATTTCCCTTTTCTTTTTCGTTCACAAGATCTTTGCAGTGGAGCAGGAGACTAGATAATCTTATACGAATGACCCCTCATCCGCGAGAGGGTTACGCCCGACAACAGATTCCAATTAACATCACTAGTTTCTCGGCGGTAGGTAACGATCTGAATGTCAAGGTGTAATATTTGTCCCAGACCAAATAGGCATTTGGCGATTTGTAATGAGAAATTTAAGGCGCTCTGACTCACGCTGGAACGCGACATCGAAAACTGTTGCATTGACAACAGCTAACGCTTAAGCTCTTAAGCCGGCTCTAAACTTTTTTCGACTGCAGATTTTAGATTACACTATGATGTAGTGTTTTGATTAGAAGCATGCAACCTTAAATAGTATCAAACCGATTTCGATCCATGGTGGCCATAGAAAGCGATGGACTTCGAAAAGACTAGAATCTCTACTGTTTTTTCTCGAACTGAAAACTGTTTTCAGTACTCACCAGGACTTACAAGGACTC